CTTTATTTTTTTTACAATTTTTTAAATATTTTTTTTTTTTTTTTTTTTTTTTTTACGTTTGTGCTGTATTGCCTATGTAAAATCTATTCTCCTCAGGAAGGCATTGCTTTCCTTACTGCCTAGTAGGACGTTACATTATAAACTGCCAGTTTGAACATGTTCTTTCTGCCAGATTGGCTCAACATAGTTAAGTATAATTGTAGCCATTAAAGTGACGACACGGACAAGACCCTTTAAGCCTGTGTCTGCATGAACACTTGCACTAACACACACCAGCTACCAGTTTTACAGCTCTGAGTGTTGGCACTTCTGGGCTTCTGTTCCCAGTTCGGCCAAGGGCAGCTGGCCAGCACGGGTCAGGCACAACCCTCGGCGTGTGCAGGAAACTGTGCCAAGAGCAAAGAAAAAGGCCAAGCGCAGTGGAGTCTGCTCCATTGTGGGTCATAACTCTGGGTCCAGCCCCAGCCTGGAGCGCTGATACACCTGCTGCCACCGCAGGCCCCATTTCCCTGAGATGGGGCAGGTTTAATGGAGCTGCGTCAACTCCCACCGCTTCCTGCGCTACCTCGGCCAGAGCTACGTGGCCTCCCGGGGGTTAGGAGGTAATGATCCGCCCCTGCAGCACACACTGATACAGGTGAATGCTGTCCTCACCCAACTCCTGCTGACTTGCTATTAGCAACAAAAGGCACCACGCTATTTTAGTCCTCAAAAGCCCCCGATTTTGTGCAACCAATTTTCCCAGGCCAGGCTGAACAACCTCAGCTTACTTACAACCTACAGAAAACCTCTTCCTCCTCAATTAGCTTTTATTGGATTGTTGAAGATCCACGCAGACCGTACTGGCAAGGCTCGGACATCAGAACAAGCACACTACGTATTGTATAATGTGCAAAACTAGGTGCCGGCGTGTTCTCTTTATATATAATTATCTTTATGTGGGTCAGTTGCCACCCAGCTCCCAGTAAAACCAGTTAAGATCTGGCATATCTGTGGTACACAGAAAGGATCCTTCTCTCCAAGAACCTCACCCTCGGGAGCATGGCAGTGCTAGACAAGAAACACCAGAAATAAGGGCCATCCGTTACCCCACTCACATGACAACACGTGGTGTTTTGCAGAAGAACCAAGACCAAAGATTTCAGCACTAGCAAGAGATTTGGGGTGCCCCCATCTTATGAAGCCGCAGCTGGAGACAGCTTGAAGAACCCCATTCTAAAAGCACCAGGTCCTTTTCTGAGGGGATCCAGGACTTGAAGGTACTTGCACCGAGCACGCAGATGGGCGTTAGGTATTCCAAAGCACTCTGTATTTTAGGAAATACAGTTACTCTCTTTCCCAGGGTCTGAGTAGAGCGTAAACCACAGAAAAGGGAGCTGTGCCTCTACAAAACATCTCAACAAGCCTCACATTTGACCTAGGGCAAGGTCAGCTTCTCTGATCCAAGCACACCTCTGGTCTCTTTACAGGGCCCAAAGGTGGCAGAGGACAAACCCACACCAGGAACGGATCTGAAACCAACCAAATGTATTTCACAGATGCCACCCAAATGCCCTTCAAATGATGCTAACATTCAGGCATGCTTACTCCTTCCGAGGGATGAAACAGAATTAAATTTAACATCAGTACTCTCCTTACGGATCCCAGGAACCATCTACCTGCTTTATAGCACGCAGCTATGCCTGCTGCAGCTCCTGTTCAGGGACAAATAACAATAATGCTCAGGAAGTAATAACAGGTGAATAACTGTGACCTTCTGGCTCTGACCCTATAAACTGCTTCACTGAGGAGGAGCTGAGAGCTGCTTCAGTTCCATGAAGTTTTGCTTCAGTCACACACGCTCTCTGCAAAACTTGTGTTAATGAAGTTGGCCGCTCCCTCTGGGCGCTTCCACGCGTTACTGCAAAGTTGCAGGAGTTAATACAGCAGGCAATAACAAAATCCAGTCTAATGCCCTGGCTGAGCACAAACGATTATCATCTGAACAATGTGTGCACTAAGAGCATGGAGAGGCATGAAGTTTTGCTTCAGTCACACACGCTCTCTGCAAAACTTGTGTTAATGAAGTTGGCCGCTCCCTCTGGGCGCTTCCACGCGTTACTGCAAAGTTGCAGGAGTTAATACAGCAGGCAATAACAAAATCCAGTCTAATGCCCTGGCTGAGCACAAACGATTATCATCTGAACAATGTGTGCACTAAGAGCATGGAGAGGCCAGGCAAAATTTAAAAAAAAAAAAAAAAAGGGGGGGGGGGGGGAGAGAAACAAAATCCAGTCTAATGCCCTGGCTGAGCACAAACGATTATCATCTGAACAATGTGTGCACTAAGAGCATGGAGAGGCCAGGCAAAATTTAAAAAAAAAAAAAAAAAAGGAGGGGGGCGGGGAGAGAGAAAGCGCAAGAGCAAGAGAAGCAAATTGAGTGAGGCAGCCAGTCTTCCAAGAGAGAACAAAAGATCTTGGTAATAATGCAGGACCCAGCACAGGCACAAAGTGTCCTGAAGATTTCAAGTGTAAGAATTACAGACACTTGTAATTTAATCCTCCTCCTGCCCAGAAAACAAAGCAAAAAGCAGTGCTGATGAGAGATGCCAGCTGAGCAGCTCTGGAGTCAGAGCTTCTGTCTACAGAAGGACAGACCAAGGTACACCTTGAACAGTACCAGCATATCCTACAGGCAGCATTACAGCCTCCTCAAAGAAAACCCCAGCACTTAAAGGGTACTTCAATGTTCACGGTCCATTCCCCTTGTTCCCTTGGGCTGGCAGTTTTCGATAAAAGACCCTGTTAGTATCATTCGTGGCAGAAGCAAGGGGGCTGACGGGGAGACATACTAGTAGGAAATATGCTGAGATCACACATTCACTTCTCATCCATCACCAGAAAGATGACGGCAATTTCAGTCCTTCCTCATCTCTGCCGAACCAAAACTGGCAGCTGGGAGATGGAAGGCTTTTTCACCCCTGTATTCATTTAGAGCCTGTCAGTCATCTCAGTACCTTTCACGCAGCTGGACAGACACTCACCAGTACCCTCTCCCCAAAACCACGGCAAAACTCTGTCTCCTTGGTTCAGCGTACGTATCCAAGCACATGATCCAGAAAG